AGAGAGAGACAGAGACAGAGAGAGAGAGAGAGAGAGAGAGACAGAAACAGAGAGATAAAGCGAGAGAGCAATGCCCAAACACTTGTGAAAGAACTTTGAGAGTGTAGAGAAGTCCAACGCCATTGTCTAGGTAACTGACGAAAAGAGCAGGGGGTGGGGGGAGGTGGGGTCTGAACCAGGCAGAAACCAAATGTAACTAGACAGAACCTCGACAAATTTACACTGCGGACACTCGAGCTGATTAAATATTTCAAGAACTGCCCGTGACCGTTACATAAACGTGTACACCTTTTTCACGTCTTTTTCACATCAAGGTTTTTTGGGGGGGTTTTCTTCTTTTCTTTCCCTCCCGAGTCAACACAAGACACTTGCAGCAGAGCTCACAATTACGGAAATCTTGGGTAAACACTTAAAAAACTGCCACTTCATTAAACCGCCAGACTTTTATTTAACAGTGATTATCTAAAAAAAAAAAACCCACTTAAAAATTCCGCCAAAACCCCCACTAGCCTCGGGACTCTAGGGGGGAAAGATAAATCGGTCAGGTCTCTACAGACCAAGTTGAAGAAGCGATGATCATGCAAGTTCTCTACAGACTAAGTTGAAGAAGCGACGAACATGCAAGTTCTCTACAGACTAAGTTGAAGAAGCGATGAACATGCAAGTTCTCTACAGACTAAGTTGAAGAAGCGACGATCATGCAAGTTCTCTACAGACTAAGTTGAAGAAGCGATGATCATGCAAGGTCTTTACAGACTAAGTTGAAGAAGCGATGATCATGCAAGGTCTCTACAGAGTAAGTTGAAGAAGCGATGATCATGCAAGTTCTCTACAGACTAAGTTGAAGAAGCGATGATCATGCAAGTTCTCTACAGACTAAGTTGAAGAAGCGATGATCATGCAAGTTCTCTACAGACTAAGTTGAAGAAGCGATGATCATACAAGTTCTCTACAGACTAAGTTGAAGAAGCGATGATCATGCAAGTTCTCTACAGACTAAGTTGAAGAAGCGATGATCATGCAAGTTCTCTACAGACTAAGTTGAAGAAGCGATGAACATGCAAGTTCTCTACAGACTAAGTTGAAGAAGCGATGAACATGCAAGTTTTATCAACATTGTCAACTTCATCAGCACATCAAATACATCGGCGGTGGGTTATGAATACGTCCTTTTCTTAGCTGAAGTTTTAGTAAGAGTTTTAGGGCACTATCAGGTCATATAAGTGATGAAGATGAGAGGTGGTACTGAAGTGTAACATGTAAACAAACAAAAGGGGGAGAGAGATAAGGACGATAGATGCCGGATGGGACAGAAGGAGCAAACCACTGAAGAGCACCCGTTAAGCTGAGAGGGACATCCCAGAAGAAAGACCGAGATACTCGCTAAAAAATTTTCCCACTAAGGCATCGAACTCGGGTCCCCTTGGTGCAACAGCAAAGCGTCTAACCACTGCCCCACAGACGCCGGTGTGGAAACTAAGGGTGTGCGTCAATGGTCAAGGAAGATCCAAATGGAGACCTTGACATGACCACTACCAAATACACTACAGTACAAGGTGGTGTACTTTACAAAAAGTAAATTGATAAATATAAATCCTGGAAAATCCACAAAAGCTTGTGTACTGTGGCCACAGCCGCTAATAATAAACGTTTTATGTCGAGAAACACAAATTTCTCTAAGATTACTCTCCGCTCAAACACTAAGTTCTCAAAGATTCCTCTCCACTCAAACACAAAGCTCTTTAAGATTCCTCTCCGCCCCAAAAAGCGCAATAAGACAGCTGTTTATTTGAGTAAATAAATATTATTATAAATTCTGGAAAACCCACATACGCTCGTACAGCTGGCTGTTGTTACTGCCGCTGCTGTATAATAAGCGTTTAGTTTCGAGACTCAGACACAAAGTTTTCTAAGATTCCCTTCCACTTAAACACAAAGTTCTCAAAGATTCCTCTCCGCTCAAAACACAAAATTCTCTAAAGAGAGAGAGAGAGAGAGAAAGAGAGAGAGAGAGAGAGAGAGAGAGAGAGAGAGAGAGAGAGAGAGAGAGAGTTCTCAAAGATTCCTCTCCGCTCAAACACAAAGGTCACTAAGTTCACTCTCCTCTCAAACACAAAGTTCTCAAAGATTCCTCTCCGCTCAAATACAAAATTCTCTTAGATTCCTCTCCGCCCCAAACGCGCAATAAGACAGCTGTTTGTTTGAGTAAAGAGAAGCACATCGACACAATAATGGTCATCTAGTGCTGGGAAAAAGTAAGACATACAGACAGACAGACAGACAGACAGAAACAACAGAGGGATAGTAAAGAAGTAGGGCCTATCAGTGTCGCCCTCCAACCACCCTCAAGACATCTGTGACCGCCCGTGTCCCAGAGAGATGCTTGTCTGACGTCACTTTCCTCAACTCACCGAGGTGTGAACAAACTCTTTGGGTGTGAACCACCCTGTGGAGAAACCACTACTTGTGTTGACAGAGCCTAGAGGGCAAAGGTCAGCTTATTCTTTGTTATAATGAACGCCGTTGATAGTGCACACAGTCTACTTCTGTGTTTGGACACGCCTTATAGTACAATCTATTATCATCATCATCATCATTGTAGAAAAAGGAAAGTAGAAGAGAGGAGTTTTAAGTCAGTTTGGGCATAAAATGTGACAAAAATACTCAACGTTTCTCCCCTCGATGGATTCTTTAGCAAACAATATCAATGTAGATCTAGAAAGGGTAGAGTAAGGAAGGGGAATTTCCAGTAACTTACGGTCAGAAAGTGGGGATTAATAAAATCCTCTTTTTTTTGGGAGGGGGGGGTTACTAAAGCAGTGTATATGTGTGAGCGTGTGTGTGTGTGTTAAAGAGAGAGAGAGAGAGAGAGAGAGAGAGAAAGAGAGAGAGAGAGAGAGAGAGAGAGAGAGAGAGAGAGAGAGAGAGAGAGAGAGAGAGAGAGAGAGAGGTTGAGTGGACAGCTACTTGAGCAGCCAACAAACAACCACCGTGGACATATCAGGTCTCTGGGTCATGTCAAAACATAAACGTTAGAAACAACAAGGTCAACACATTACTTCACAAGTGTGTGTGTGTGTGTGTGTGTGTGTGAGTGTGTGTGTGTGAGAGAGAGAGAGGCAGAACTGAAGTAGTCTGCCTCCTAAATGAATAAAAGTGTTTATAAGTCTTACATTTATTAGGGTAGCGAGATGACATTTTCACGATAACCACTATATATTTCTCCTCGACAATGGCAGGCCGTCTTAGACCATTTCGACTGTGTCTTAGTTGTAGTTTAGTAAGAGTTTTACGGCCCTCGCAACTGCATAAGGTCACATGAGCGCCCGAAACACAAGTTGGTTGCATTCACAAGTTCTTAGCATTGCATCACCTTGGTCAAGGATCAGATTCAAATGTTAAAAATTCATGGAAAAAATCAAAATCTAAAAATGAAAATGTACATAATATTAAAATAACAGTATATTACATTTTGTTTGTAAAGGCCATAATACAACAGACCCAACACGAGAATCCACCGTTATCTTTTGTAAGCCAATGTACAGAGCCAAAGAACAGGGTGCTTTTAAAAAGTTTTAGTAGACGTTTTTCGGCGCTCGAAACTGCATAAGGTCATATGAGTCATACGAGATTCAGAAGATTAGAGGTGTTACAAGAGAGTAACAAACATAAAAATCGAAGAAGGGGAGACAAAGACGATAGATGTTTCATAGGAAAGAAGAAGCAAACCACACCAGAGCACCTGTCAACCACCCATAGAACAGGGGGCCCGTCAGTCAAATCCATGATGTGTTCAGATGGGGTTGGGTGACCTGTGGTCGTTGACAGACCAGAGCACGCTTGAGCTGCCATCTCAAACTGACCTACGGTTTGCTTCATCAAATGTGATCCAGAAACAGGGTGTCTAAACTGACAGACAGACAGCGAGAGACACACATCTTGGCAAACACACAACGAGGAGAAAAACTGATGGCAGGAGGAGAGGAGGATTTAATTTAGTTTAGTTCAGTAAGAGTTTTACGGCGCTTGCAACTGCATAAGGTCATATGAGCGCAAGAAACACAAGTTGGTAGCATTCACAACAGTTCACAGCACGGCTTGGTTTAGGTCAATGATTCTATTTAAAATGTAAAAAATCTGTGGTAAAATATTCAATTTAAAAATAACAATTTGCCTTAGATTAAAACAACAGTATTTACAATTTATTGGAAAGTGGCGTGTAAAAAGAGACAGAGGGTAGAGGGGAAAAACATGTTCCAAATAACTGCGCACACACATACTAAAATGTTGCAATCATATTCATCATAAATCACGATTCTTCAACTCCTGGCCTACTGGCCACAATAGGCCCAGCAAACCAATTCCCCCCCACCCCGAGAGGCACAACAGAAACAAAATAATTTCCAACAAATGTCAAAATTTTCTCAGCAGTGTTCTTTTATATATTTTTCTTACTTTACCATTCCGTATTTTTTGTAGCCAACTATTCATGTCTTTGAAGTGTCAAATCCTAAACACTGTAGAATCAGTTTTCAGTTGTTTTACTTTTGTATATACAAGAACCTCGAGACTTCAAAGATGCACCATGGGACATAATGAGAGAGAAGGGATCTTGACCTACCTGACATTCTCCGTGTCTTTGCCGCAGGAAGAGAACTGAATTCCTTGACAGGAGCAAATGTCCCGCAGCTGCTTGCGGACCTCTCGGGCTGTGTTTATGTGCCGATAGTTGATGAAATTTTCAAAGCACCAAGCCTGATATGAAAGAAAAAGAGGGGGATTTATAAATTGCATATACCACATACCTAAATGAGCATTATACAAAAACCATTTTTATGAAAATGATAGCAATTATTCTGTAAAGCTGAAAGTGTTTGATCCTACCAGCCCTCAGATTAAGTGGAGTAGAAAAAAGAAACAAAAGACCAGATGCTGTGGGGCATCGAACTCCATACCACTAGACTGTCAGACCAGACATACATCTGCTGAGCTTTTGAGCCCCCCCCCTCCACTCTCCAAACACCCCCCTCCCTCAGGGACAACAGTTATCTTTATCACAAAACTTCTTAAGCAAACACATGATTTTATAAGAAACAATTCTCACTCACCTTGTTCCCGTTGACAGACTTGAAGGCACGGAATGTGTTGAGTAGCGTGATGTGATCTCCCTCGCTGGACACAAATTTCTGTCGGACGCTCTGTATCTCATCACGCTGAAAAACAGAAACAAGGCGTCATCTCATCTCTAAGAATTCTTATTCTGCATGGGACCTTATCATAAACTGTAGTGGGCTCCAATCCACTTCACAACGCCACAGACTCACGATTACAGCTCTGTTATTTTTCATTGCTGTTACTTCGTTTTCTGTCTAACTCTTATCCCCACCGACCTAGCAGTTGGGGAACGGTCAAGAAAAACATATATCTTTGGAAACTCACAGAAAGAAATGTAAATTGAAAATTCCACGACAGACACTAGAAGAACCAGAGAATAATGAATAACATTGAATGTGTGCAAGCATACACATGTATGTGGGTTTGTGTCTTCAAAATAGAAAATGTGTGTAAACATAAATTTGTATGTGGGTTTGTCTCTTCAAATAGGAAATATGTGTAAGCATATGTAAATACGTGGATTTGTATCTTCCAATAGGAAGTGTGTGTAAACATGTGTAAATATGTGAATTTGTCTCTTCAAATGGGAAATGTGTGTTAGCATATGCAAATATGTGGGTTTGTGTCTTCCAATAGGAAGCAGCACCCGGTGTGCATGCACGCGCCCAACCGCAGTAGGTAGAATATCAAACCTTTTCATTTGAAAGTTGAAAGTAGGTGAGTAATACACTCACTGGGCTTTGTGTCTCAGTTGGGATTTTACAAAAGGCTTAGCTAAAGTCAGATCTAGGGTCATTATGATTGCAACAACATCAGATTCACAACATTCATAATACATAATTGTACAGACCCGTACAAAAAAATGAAAGGAAGATGACAGTAGCTACCCAAACTCTCCAAACCCAGCAAAAGCAAGGATTCAGAGAGCACCCTGTAAAGGTTCCCAGATGAAACAATGTTGCTCTAAAAATATGCCCCTTTCTCACTCTTAGAAAACGTCAAAAACTGTATTTCAGGAAATCATTGAAAACAGTCAATAACCCTGAACAACAAGCAAAGGCAAAAAGAGTTTTCCCGGTACACAGAAGAAATGCTGACTCCTCACCTTGTTCATTTGGTTGATGAAAATGTCGTCCACTGACAGGATGGACACGATGGTGAGGACCTCTTCCCTGAAACATAGGACAAATTTTGTTCTTCACAGGTGTGAAAAGGTATTCAAAAGTGCTCATCTTTGCTGCATTTTTTTTTTTACATGTGTCAAAGAAAGAAATAAAATGATGACAGAGACTAAAGAAAACAAGTCCCCTAAAAAAAAAAAACCCCAAGTAAATAACAACTACACAAAAATATTCACTTGTAAAAACACAACGCAGAGATAAAGTAACAATACATCATTACAGTGTACAAGTCACACGCAAACAGACAGCGACACTTACACACAAACCACAGAACACTCACACAGACAGACAAACAGCGACACTTACACACAGCCATATTCCTGAGACAAGAGGATGATCTTTGCATACTTTGGGTCTAAGGGAAAAGCTGCCATCCGCTTGCCCAGTGGGGTCAACTGGGGAAGAATAATGTAAGGAATTCAGGACCCAAAACATGTACATAAAACACCTCTATCAAAGCATGTACATAAAATATCAACAAACTTCAGATGTTGCTACGGTGAGGATTACAGTGAGTCAGCACAATAGTCATTGCATGTTGCCAGATTGATTGCAAATGAGTGAATGAAAAAGTTTTATCTGTATTCCCTCCCCAAACCACTCACACAATTTAAATTTAAATTCACATCACTTAGAGACATGCTTCTAATTTGTTTTGAGTATGTTGTTCCAGGCAGTTTCAGCCTTTGCCAGTATGTAAGGGTTAACAACACGCCAGCTACTCAGACCACTGCTGGGAGTAGTGTGTAGAGAAATAACACAAGGCATTCGTCATGTCTATCAATGAGCAGGAAGAGACCTTAACATACGGCATTTGTCATGTCTATCAATGAACAGAAATAGACCTTAACATACACCAGTCGTCATGTCTATCAATGAACACAGAAAAAAAGAGTGCTGAAAGCACAGACTGACAAGTCCGGACAGCTATCTTTTGCTGGTCAGACTACATTGCAGGCCACCAGGGTGTGAATCTCATTTCTGACAATTCAGATTGCTGAAGGTCTCATGTTGAAGCCCAAACTAAAAAGTACCTAAAACTGATGGAGAAAAAAAAGTAGTTCAGATTCACAACAGCTGTATAAGTAAAGTTTTCAATGAGAATGTGTGTGTACGTTCTCATACCTTGGGCATGTCCGACTCGGAAATTTTCTCGACTGCTCCAAGCAGCTCCAGTTCTGTCAGTGCAGCCAAAATTGACTGAGGGAGAAAAACACCACGTGGTGAGAAATTAAAACAAAAAAAAGGTGATAAAAACACAACATGACACTTAACTAGGAATACAACTTGAATTTTTTTTAAAAACATGATGGAGAAAATAAAACCTGATGGTCTGAAAGAAACGAAATGGTAAAGACATAAAATGTAAACTCTTCTACATCAGAAACGTCAAGGGTCCTTGAAAATATTTCCGTTCCTCACTCTCTTAATATATTCATTTTGAGCAAAGTGAAATAATTAAAATCCTTTTCCCTCTTCATGTGACCCAAACAACACCCCATTTTGGTAGTCACCAAGTTCATAGGCCCTGTTCAACCATAAAAGATGACAGCAGAAAACATAAAGTTTCATCCCAAAAAAGAAAGCAGACAAGAATGGACATACAACACTTCACAGAATAAACACATTTTGAAACATGCTGTTCCGGCACAAGAACTGTGGTTTCTAACTGACATCTGTCTGCCATGCCTTTTTTAAGGCACTAAATGTTCTTCATATTGATGTGTTTCTCTCAGACTCAAACAAACACATATCCTCACTGCCGAAGTTGTTAATTATCTCTCTTTGGTTTTACTTTTTTAGTAACACGGTAATGACACTTCCAACAAGTATAGGTCCTGCAAGTGCCAAAGATTAGTGGTCACACCTTGTCCTCGGTGTTGGGGTTACTACAGTCGGAACATGTCCATCTTAGCTCTCCCCCCATCTTCAGGATCCACCCCAGAGTCTCTCTGCTTACAGTCTCTTACAGATTAGACGTGTTACTAGAGAGTAGTATACAAAGAAAAGAAGGACGGAAGATAAGAACGACAGATCTATGACGGGAAAGAAAGAGCACATCACACCAAAGTTCCCGCCAACCACCCACACGTTACCTCTCTGTCCGGCTTGTCCATGAAGTCAAAGGTCATCACGTCTGAGATGCCCATAGCCATCAGCTGGAGGATCACGCTGGACAAGTTACACCTGATGACGAGAGGGTAACAGAAGGGAAGGTTAGTTATTTGTGATTAAATGGTGGGGGAGGGAGGGAGTGAAGGGACAGTTTGTCGACATTTGGATTGAATGAATGGCGAAAGGGGGAGGGGGGTGTTGCCTGGTATTTGAAGTAGAATTGGTGAAAAAATGGTGAACAATGGCTGGTAATTTCCAAAGATATAGTGTCCTTGAAGAGTGCAAATTTACATACGCGGTTTAAAAAAAATTTTTTATCAACATTTTTCAAAGTAAAAACCTCAAGAGTTTTTAAATGGACATAAGTGTTGGGCCCAAAAAAACGTCAATGAAAAATTGTCCAAATGTTGAAAAATGTTGGGTCTAAATACATCACTACTCAATACATCATTCCTATCTTCAAAGAAAAAGAAAACAATTATAAAAAAACGTAATGAAAGGAAAAACAAAGCAAAGCAAAAGGAAAATATGTTGCCTGAAGAAACAAAAAGATGAAAGATAACACATTGAGTTGATTTCCTTACAACCAAAAACTGGAGACAATAATTCTCACAGGGGAACGTCCAAAAGAGAGGTAACAACAGGAAGAGATCAAGAGGGCAAATAAATAAATAAAATAATTGAAACACTCATTGCAATAGAGAAATAAGTGAACATAAGTACAAGTACAAATAAGTACAAGTAATATGTCTATTGTAATGGGTTATCTCATTTTAAAAAAAGAGGGTTGAAACTTCGAAAACATTATCCCCGTCACCTTTGTATTTCTGGAACAGTCTTGGAACTTGTAAAACATTACCCCCCCTTAGCTCTGTATTTCTGGAACATCATAAACATTGTCCCCCCCCCCCCAATGTATTTCTGGAACATTTGTGTTACGATGCGGTGGCATCAGGCACTCGTCCAGTTTGGGGCACACAGAGTTTTTAATAGAGGCTTTAAGCTTGTTCATTTGTCTCCTATTTGGAGAAAGAAATACCCATCTATCTTGAAGAGAAGTCAAAATATTTGCGGCTGAAGGAGCTTGGGGTCGGCTAACAAGAAAGGCAAAATCGGCGAGAAAATGACCGCCAACGTTTGGTGACTTATAATGCTTGAGTGTCCTTGAAAACGGAAAATTTACATTTTTTTGTGCCTGTAATTAACGATTTTTGGTAGCACCCAAACAGAAATTAAATGTTTTAAAAAGAACATAAAAGCTGTCATGGCAAAAAAAAAAGAAAGAAAATTCGAAACAGAAATTGCCCAACGCCCAGAAAAATGTTGGTTTCTTTGATTTCACTAATTTGATGAGTGCCTGATTTCGCCACGCTGTCTCACATTTAAAACATTATCTCTTTTACCAATTTACCCCTTCCTGCCCCTTACCTCTGTATCTCGGGAACCGTGTTGGAACTCATCTCCCCAAACTGTGCCTCAGTGAACAGCCTGTAGCATGTTCCGGCCGACTCCCTCCCCGCACGGCCGGTCCGCTGGAGGGTCTGAGCCTTGGACGTGTTGACCACTCGCAGAATGTCCAGCCCTGTCCGTGCGTTGAACACTCTGTGGGAGATGGGGGAGAACAGTAGCAGGAATCAAGTCATAGTTTATCACAAGAAAGTGCAATCATGGAACTCAGTTGGCGTTGTAAAGGTCACAGGCTACATAGTAGCAGGTGTGCTAAGATTCTTGAGTGGGAAAATTATTATACTGAGTATATCCACAAGAATACTGTATCCCTCTCAGCCCAAGTCGTCCTTGACAGACAAGGTCGAAGCAGTCCACCTCCTAAACAAGGTAAACTGTGTCAATGAGGTTGTAAAACATTCACAATTAACAATTTTGACCTAATAATGTGTATCGCTTTTCGAGTAGTTATCCATATAACTCTAAAGGTCTTGTAATTAAACTTCTGCATATGGTAGAATGATGCATCTGATGTGATAGTACATTTTATAAGCTTTACTTTTCTTTTTATATTGAATTTTAATTAAAGTAATGTGAAAAATTAGTTTTTATGTATACCTGCATGTGTTCTTATGGTCCTGTACAGCCAAGACAAATTTCCCTCTGGGACAATAAGGTATTGTCTTATCTTATCTATCTTATCTTAACAATGTCACAACATGATGGTAAAGTACAAGTCTAGCAAGCCTTCCAACACTTAAAGAATTTGATGTCCACACAAAGTAGGTGGAGAGCCTTGAAAATTTATTCAAACAACCAAAGTGGCATGACAACCGTAAGATGACCGCTGCAGAGGAGGGGTGAGGAGTTGTGGACAGAACCCGTCTCTCAAGGCCTCACTTCTCGACTCAAACAATCAAGTAAGAAAAACATACGCAATAAATAATGACACTCTGGGAAACAACAACACATTCTATATATAGAAACTCACTTTGCTTTGACTTTCCCACAGTCAATGACAAACTTGATACCAGGTATGGTGATTGATGTTTCAGCGACATTGGTTGCTATGACAACCTTGCGATGACCCTAAGAGGAGGAATACAAACTCATGTAGTACATTATTGGTTACATTATCTAATGCAAGAAGCAAACAAGGAGTAAAACTTGTGGTAGTTCATATTGATTAACATATTGTTGTTGTTGCTGTTATCGATCCAGCAACAGATTGATTACATAATCTAAAGTAAAAAAAAAAAAAAACAGGAGAAAAACGATGGACAAAGGGACTTGAACCCTGAAGTACAATGGACAGAAAAAATGCAAACAAAACAACCAAATCATTAAAATTTGTCTTTAAAAAAGTTTTAAAAAACTATTATGGTTTATATCAAGAGGCTTTAAAACAAAACTTTGTGAGCAGATATTAAAAAAAATCTTCCATACCGGGTTGGCTACCACTATGCCGAAAGACATGAATTAAATAAAGTTTTTATAATTTCTTAACCTCAGCGTTCAGTCAAAACTGAATGAACATTCTTTTCCTTCTTTTTATTAAAGAAAAATGCATTTGTCTCATAAAATGAGGCAGAGTGCAACAGACATGACAAAAACAAGACTCCAGTGAGCCAAAAGGCTCTCATGAATTTTAATTTAGTCAGCAAAGGGTTAAGGGCAGCAAAAAGATTGTGTGATTATTTTTTTAAAAACCCAATAATATCTTTATATCGATCCTCTTGACAGACCTAACCTTTAATAGTAACAATATGTAGAGCCAATACTAAAAAGACAAACTTTCCTACCCATTTGAAACAAACTTTCCTACACTGACAAGACAAACTTTCCTACCCCTTCGAGACAAACATTTCTATGCTCACAAGCCCCTTCAAGACAAACTTTTCTACCCATTTGAAACAAATTTTCCTACCCCTTCAAGACAAACTTTTCTACCCATTTGAAACAAATTTTCCTACCCCTTCAAGACAAACTTTCCCACTCCTATAAAACAAATTTTCCTACCCCTTCAAGACAAACTTTCCCACTCCTATAAAACAAACTTTCCTACCCCTACAAGACAAACTTTCCTACCCCTACAAGACAAACTTTCCTACCCCTTCAAGACAAACACCCTACCCCTTCAAGACAAACACCCTACCCCTTCAAGACTAACTTTCCTACCTCTTCAAGACAAACTTTCCTAGTGGGTGGTTGGTAGATGCTCCGGTATGGTTCACTCCTTCTTTCCTATCAAACATCTATCGTCTTTATCTCCCCTCCTTCTTTTTGTGATTGTTACTTCCTTGTAACACCTCTAATCTTCGGCACTTATTAACCTTACCGTGTTTCCAGTGCCGTAAAACTCAAAAAAAAAAAAAAAAAAAAATTTTCCTACCCCTTCAAGACAAACTTTCCCACGCCTACAAGACAGGCTTTTTTATCAATTGGAGAAAATAAACCTGGCTTACCGGCGGAGTTTTCTCAAAGACCTTGACCTGCTGCTGTGGAGGCAGCGCTGCGTAGAGAGGCAGAATCAGCAGCTTGGGAAGATCTTGCATGTCTCTCGACAACTGACGGAGTTGTTTGACTGCCGAATCAATCTCATCTTGGCCCGTAAGGAAAATCAGAACATCTTCTCTGTACAGAGAATCAAGGACAACAAATTATAGACTGTACTGATATTATTTTACACCTCCACAAACAATTATACTAGACTGAGTTTGAGTAAAGAGAGGCGCATCTACGAAATAAACAGCATTAAGTGCATGGTAAAGTAAGGAAGACAGACATAAACAACAGAGAGAAGGAAAAGAAATAGGACTTACCAGTTGCGCCCTCCACTCAATAATTATCAGAGAAGAGAAATAGGCTGTGGTTGATAGAAATCTAAAAAATTTTCAGATCAAAATTGTATCCGTGTTACATTTCGTGTCGTGTCGTATCGACAAAATGCACAGTTCAACTGAAAACTCAAATCAGTCAGAAGTCTATTTTTTCTGTTGCACGTGTTGTCTAGTTTCTTCTTACCTGGCTGGAGCCTCTTTGTGTATCTTGAACAACGTGACGACGGAGGAGAAAGCGTAGTCGCTCTGAGGTTCAGCAGTATGCATAACCTGCACAAAATCAGACAGGAGAGAAAATAAAGAAAGTTCAAAACTATGCAAACATAATCTACATGAAGCCAGATGGTCAATGGCCACGAAAAGGCTTATCTTTTATGTGAATACCTTGGACGCGGTTACTTGAGGGAGGCATTGCGCTGCCAAGAGCGAAATGTTCGCAGCTAAAGGGATTTGAAAACAACAACAACACGTGAATACTTTTTTTACGTTCCTGGTGTGAGTGTGTGTCGCTAGTTTATTGATGATGTCGGACTTGTAATCAGTAAAACCATGACTTTTATTTGCCTCAGCAGAAAAGAAGCTACATATATCACACAGAAACGTACATTCTGTTTATCTATTTATTTTACTTAGTCCCACCGTATCCAGCTGAAGAATACTAGAAAATAAAAGTACCAGTATTGTAAATTTAATATCTACCTCACTGGCTGCAACGATTTATCTATGGGACAGATAGACAGAAACAACAGAGCAAAAGAAAGAAAGAAGTAGAACCTACCAGTGGTGCCTTTCAACCTGCTGCATTATAATGTCACATGGCACAACAACTTGTACAGTTCAAATACAGGAAACACTGATTTTTCTCTAGATGATCTTCTGTGCATGCTAGAGAATGGATTTCTTAAACCAAAATTTGGTAGCCACACACTGGCAAAATTATTGAACAGAGGACAGCACCTTTGAGGAAAGAACTTTTGCCAAAAAAGAACAAACAGCATTATACTTCAGATGTCAATAAAGCAACAGAAGTATATTCCCACCAAACCTGAAAACACATCTGGCAATCCTACCTGTATGGGGAACTGTCTGCCCTCCAGGTACAGGACTGGCGCTTTGTTGAAGTAACGAGAGAAGTGGTCAACGTCCATTGTGGCAGACATCACTATGATCTACAGGGAAACAATTTTAACAAACATGACAGAAACAATGAAAATAATATGTTGCATTCAATGAGACAGCTGTACATATTGTTACTTGACCATGCAGACTGTGTGTGTTTAAATTTCAGCAGTTGTTCATGAAAAAGGAAAAAAAACAACTGGAAGCGAAACAAAAAAAAACCCAACAACATCCGAAATGTCTGCCGATTTGTTAACTGTTTGCACAGTGCAAGCAGTGGGATATGTGCTACGTATGTGTCATAAAAAGGACTAAACCGTGTGTTACTATGCTACTCAGTACATACTATTCCTTAACAATGTAACAACATACCCGTGTAATCCACATCTCCTTTGGAGGACAACAAAGTCCTGCTTTTCTTTATCTCTCTAATATGTGGTATGTGGCTCCCACAACTTAAAACTCGTTGGTAAAACAATTTATCTTTTATAATAGATCAGAATTTTTTCCCCTGAAATTTAAACTTGTATTAATCGGCACGCACCTTGAGCAGTTTCAAGCCTGTCTTCAGGCGACAGTTCTGGGCGGCTTTGACCACCCCAAAGAGGACATCCGTGTGGACAGTCCGCTCGTGAGCCTCGTCCAGCACAATCACAGAGTATTTGGTCAGTTTGGAGTCGAGGATCGCCTCCCGCAGCAGCATACCGTCAGTCATGAAAATCAACTTTGTGCTCGATGATGTGGCATCTTCAAACCTGATGCGGTAGCCAACCTGGGAAGATGTTACAAACAACAGCAGCTATACAAGTATATAAGCCACTTTTTACAAAGTTTTAGAAACAGTTTTACGGCACCTATAACGCAAATAAGTCATATGGTCGCTTTTAAGCACAAGGGAGCCATCCCAAAAAATGTTGTTTTGAGAAAATGAAAGGTAAAGTCTTTGCCCCTTGTTCAGTTTCTTCAAAAGACAAGGAGAGTTTCCACTATAACGAAACAAATATTCACACCAATGAAATCTAACTTCTTCTTTAGGTAAGGCAACTGCCACTTTTGTTGTAGGTCAAGATTTCTGGAAACCCCCGAAATCTGGGTTAGCGCGCTTGTCCTCAAAAGCGACCATATAAGAGCTGAAGATTAGAGGTGTTACAAGAGAGTAATATACAATGAAAAAAAGGAAGAGAGATAAGAGGACGAAAAATGACGGATAGGGAAGGAGCCAACCACATCAGAGCCCCAGCCAACCACCCACTTTAAGCTTCTTGATGAATTTGAATCTCACACATTTCTAAACAGAAACAGTTTAGATTTTTCACAATATATTCTAAACAGAAACAGTATAGATTTTTCACATTATCTCCTTACATTAACAGCGAAAACATTTCCCATTATTCATAAATTGCTGAAGTAAGTTGAATGTGGTTCATAACAAGCTAATACAATGATCATCTTATTAAATAGGGAAGCGATAAGACCCTGGGCTCACTTGGAAAAATTTGCACTTTGCTCACCTGTGAAGTATAACATCACTTGAAGTTAAACAAGACAAACGGTAGAAAAACTACCTCAATAGCATACTACAGCCCTGCAGTGAGTGGCAATTTTCCTTGTGTGCAAAGGGCCTCAAACAGAACATAAAGCAGGAGGAGCAGACCACACCTGACCATCCATCAGCCATTCATTCGACAGAAAGTCCTGAGCCTAAAAAGCACCCAAACTATGGTTTTTTACAAAGGTACTCAGAAAGTAGACAGACTATAGTTTACCTGAAGGTAATACAACAGCAGAAAAACTGCTGTTTATGCTAAGGTTTTCAGAAAGCAGACAAACTACGACTTACCGAGGTACCAACTGTGGTGTTTTTCTCCTGAGCAACTCTTTGGCAAACAGACACGGCCGCCACTCGTCGGGGCTAGCAGATGAGGTGGAGGGAGGGAGCAAAACATAAGAATTTATTCAATACGTTTTTTCATACATGCACCAGCCTGGAAAACCTAGGCAGTGGAACCCCAGCCATGACCCAAACTACAGCCAGAAAACTAAAGAATGTTTGCTTTTTATTGAATTTTAACAAGTTCAATTTTATATCTTTCATCCTTTACTTTGTTAAAAAAAAAACGTAATAAAAAAGATTCTGATGTAGGTATCGTTTTTTAAAAGTTTTTTTCTTTCTAAGATACCCTTCTAGACATTCAAGACCACAGCTCAGGTAGAGAAATATATAACGAGTTAAAAACACGCCAAAGAAAAACGGTATGATATTTCTACAAAAGTAAAACATGCACAAAAATCAACAACTTTGAGGACAAGGGCAAACAAAAAAATCTTTATTCTACTGTGTGCAGTTTGAGACTACCCATAGGGACGTGGAGACAAAGACATGTGTCATGACTTTCTCTTTTTTATTTCAGAGTGCAGCCAGTCTTTTAAAATTGTTAACATAACTGCAACTTAATCTGTCAACGGTTTCAGAAATGCCAGGGCTTGCATGACTGTGTAAAAATTTTAATATCCCATTTCAAAAGGTCCCCATGCTTCCACAAAAGCACACCGCAGCCCAAAGTTTGGAAAAGTTTTTAGTGCATAGCTCCATATCAAACGTGAACATATTGTGCAGCTCAAAAGAGCCGCAAATAATTCTTGAAAAAAAAAAAGTAATGGTAACAGGATCACTATATGTTGCTTTATCAAATGTAACTAACCGCTCAAGTAAACCTGAACTTTCACGCTAGTCTGTTTTGAACACCTTTGAGACCTAAATCATCACAAAACTTACCTACCTAACAAAAATTTTTTTAGGTTCTTATAAACCTGAATTCTCAAATAGGAAAAAATACAACATAATTTACAGAACCATTAAATTCGAAGCTTAACTGTTGGAACATCAGAAAACAACGACTTTTTCATTTTATAACCATTTTCACTCTTAACCAGTGCACAACCTAGGGTAAAGTGAGGCAGACCCGTAGAAAACAAAAAGGCCCTACCTGTGTGATGGCAATAGCGGCTCCCCCATTCACTCCAGCCTCCAGCAAGTACTGAAAAAACACAACAAATTACGATAAAAGAAAATACAGAACACAGCTACATAGCTGGAGACATTTTCCTTTCCAGAAATGTTGCAAGCACAGCAACTGGGAATGAGATTTGCAACTAGCCGTTGTTATGTAACAATACAGTGTCAAAAGCTGGTAAATTACTCTATGTCACACTAAAAGACACTACAAAGCACAAGTGCATTCATGTGTAATCGTGTGCATGTGATAAGCAAGTAGATGTGTGTGTGTGTGTGTGTACGTGTGTGTGTGTGTGTGTGTGTGTTTGGCATACATGTGTGTGCACATGTGTGCATGTTATGTGTTCGTGAGTGTGTATGCGTGTGTTTGTGAGTGTGTATGTGTATATGTGTGTGTGTTTGTGTGTATATGAGTGTGTGGATTTGTGTGTGTGTGTGGCGTGCATGAATATTGTTCTTACATGCATTTATGTAAAGCGCCTAGAGCTGTGTTTACACGGGAGTGGGCGCTATAAAAATGATCTTCATTATTCTTATTATTATGCAATCACACATAAAGAAAAACAATAAATTCACCTGAGGAATTTGTGTGGTTTTTCCACTTCCAGTTTCTCCAATCACGATAGCAGACGGAAGACGTCGGATCTGAGCAATCAACTGCTGCCTCGCAGGATAGATTGGCAGCGCTCTCCTCTCTTGTTTGAGAGCTTCGTTTGGCTGCCCATGACCCTCCAACTTGGGAGAATTTTTGAAACCTTTGAGATATACAAAGTTAAAAAAATACATGTCGGTAGAGAATGAAAATTGGGAGGTACATGGAAAACTACATTAATTTTTGGTAAAAATGTTTAATAAGTTTGAGTGCTACAAAAACTTTTACAACATGAGAATGAACAGTTTCATTATCACAAAGTAGAGGATTCAAGAACAAGTAAGAAGAATTTCATAGACCTTTGGCTGCATACATAGGACTTGCGACTTTTTGACAAAGTAAGTCAAAAAGATACATATAAAACAACACACATCAATACTCCATGCTAGTTAAGAAACAAATAAAACAGGCGAGTCAAAAGGAAATTGGGGTAAAAATATCATGATTTTTACAACATCAATGGTAAGGCTAAAAAAACAAAGCACTGAGTAAGCTACTTTAACAAAAGCAAAATCAAATACACTAGAAAGAATATTTGTCTTGCGAAAGAACTGTACATTTGATGCCACAGGGAGCAGGGGAAAAACAACATGCACCCAAAGGACAAGGTGAAAAGTTTAACATGACAAGAGAAAATTTTTTATCAAGAACAGTTCGTAAATCGACGAAGTTATAATGGCACCTGTGACCAAATACCATGAAGAACTACTTGTTGGAGGAGAGGTTGTGAAAAAGAAAAACGAACATTTACTGGTGGAGGAAGAGGCAGTATGTCCTAGCTCTTTTCACTTCTCTTCGTTGATGGACATGTTTATGACATCAATATTGTGGCCCAAGCATTTCTGCAGCTCTCAAACACTTTTCACACAGGAGTGGAGCCACTTGGACATACATAATATCAGGACACACGAAGGAAAGAGAGCTTCCTTCAGTGTTCTTCAAGATGTTGAAAAGGACACTAGCACAAGTACTAAGACAAATCTTTTGATATTCCCGAGGGCATCTCTCTTTGCCAGTTAGGGAAATTGACTCACCACCTCCGCCAGACCATCCACTTCCTCCAGGATTTGAACTTGAATGTTCCACTTTTGGCTTCTTCGCCGGACTGTGCATATGTTTGTGCCACATGTTTCTCCACTAGGTGTCTCACAAATTTCAATACCTGTGTATACGAAATACAATATATAAATACATAAATAAATAAACAAACAAAATTACCAGAAACAATTGTTGTTTCTGTTGTATCATGTCAACAATGTGTAAAATGAAAGCAAAATTCAAAGTAAAATTTTGACAATATTTTTCCCTATCCCTGTAACATCCCAACAGTACGATATAAATCAGAATTAGGAGGGATCTAAAAGGGCTCCTCCCCCCCTCCCTAGTTTGATTTTTAAAAAATCCAAATGAAATACTACACTATAT